AAAAATGTGTTAATTTAAAAAGCAACATTTGCATTTACTCTTGTAATACGTGATAGTCTTGCAATAATAAAAGTGGGTTGGTTTGGGCTTTTGTGTATGTGTAATAAGAACTTTCATTTGTTATTACATCAGTAAATCACAGAGATTACAAGGAGTTCAGAGCTTTGCAATGCAAATTACATTGTGCTTACGTATTAACTATTGTATTTCTCTGCCACGGTAATAAAGTATTGCCTTTATTCTAATTCAGCTCTTCTCATTTTTTGTTCTCCTGCTCGCGGTTCAGAGTTCCTTAGAGCATGATTAGATTATCCACGTTTCTCACAAACTTCTAGTTTCAGCTAGCATGAGCAGAGGCAAGCAGAAATCCTTGCCAACTGTTGTGTTAGTTGTACTGTAAGAATTGCTCAGAATGCAGCAAACTCTTCAGAAAAATCAGAGTCATGCAGTACCAAAAAATAACATGTGCTTCCCTTTATTGAATTAAAGATAACTTTAACGGTGACTGTAAAGTAGCTGTATCGTGCCAGACCAACAGCTCATTTGACCAAGTATCCTCTCTGCAGTAGCCAATAGAAAAACCTAGGGAGGGCTATAAGAACAGTAAAGGCTTATGGCGATTTTCCTCAGTGCAGGCTCCAGCACTCTGCAGCGCAGCAATGTTCGGGAGAGATTGGACCTTGCTATTTAATAAATAGCAATGATGAAAGTCTTCCATTAAACTGTCCACTTGCTCTTTGAACCCATGTAAAGTTCTAACACCCACAGTTTGCTATGCCAAGGAGCATACGTAGTTTAACTACGTATTTCCTTTTCTGTTTTTGAATATTGATAGCAGCATTTTGTGTTCAATAGTTAATGTTAAAAGAAACATATCTACCTATCCACCTTCTCTGAGATGCTATGGATTTTATAGATCTCTCACTTGGCCCTCTTCTAATAACTCCCTTCCACACTGAAAAGTCCTGGTCTCTTTGCTTAATCACCTTGCAGTCCACCCCAATCATCTCCTTGCCTTGGTAGGACTGCCTTGGTAGGACTACCTTTGTAGTCCTTTGTTCTCAATTTCAGATAGGAAATCAGGGTATCAACAAGGCGTTCGAGATTTAGGTGAACTGTGGATTTGTGCAATGGTATAATGACGTTTCCGATTCCCTGTAGACTTCTCCAGGTGATTCCTTATGGCCTGTTTTCTTTCGTGAAGATCAAGGTGACATGTGCATAAATTGTCTACTGTAGGACCAAGTTCTCTTTCCAGAGCGCTAGCAGCCAGCATACAGTCCATCGTTGCTCAGAGATAATTAGGATGGTCTTCTTCACTTGTGCTTCACATTTATCTACAGAATTTCATCTACCATTTCCTTACCTAGCCACTCAAAATTATGAGAATTTTTGCAGGCAGCTTTCACTTTTACCATCCTGAGTAATTTTAATTTAGATTCAGAAAATCTTGCTACTGCCTAAATCTTCTCCTTCTCCAGGAACACTGGTAATTTTTTCCTTTGCTTCTTGGGCATGACCACCTTGTTTTTAAATAGTAAAGGAGAGTTAGGATCGCTTAGAACTGCTTTCATCTAGATGTTACTAGTTTGAGTTGTGAAAAGACATTTCCTATCCTACAATACTGAAAAAAAAATTCTATTTGCACCAAAATAAAAAATTAAAATTCAAAACATTTTGATAGTTGTAATATGGATTTCAGTTTCAAATCTAAAAGGTTTATTATGAAGAGATTTCAAATGGGATGTTTCTAGCAAAATTAAAATTTGTTTGAGCTCAATTAATCGAAATCAGCTCTTTCAAACAAGTTTGTGTTTTGCTGTATCATTGCTTTCAAATGGGGAAAGAATTCATCTGACATTTGAGTATTCTGTTAGTATTTAGCTTAATACTTCAAGCAGAAATTCATCTCCTTCTCTTTTATTTGTTCTCTATATTATAATAGCACTTAGGAATCCAGTCAAGTACCATGAACACATTGTACTACGCAATGCAGAAAAAAACAATAAGAAAGTTGTTCTGATTTTCAAAAATAAGAGTTTACAGTTTCAGTATCATATATGTTAGAAGCTTTTCCCAACGTTGAGAAGTATTGAAAATGTTCAGTGACAGCACTGAAAACAGATTAATACTGTTTTGTATAGATGTGATAATATTATATTACCAAGCTGATTCAAAATTATTTTCGTTGCTGCTGTTAATCTGTTGTTGATTATCAAAAGCTAAATCATTAGTATAATGGAGTACATCCTCTCACTATGATTTCACTGGTGCATATCTAATAAACCAAGGCATCTGAAATGGAAATGTAATAGAAATGCACTATTTATGTTAATAGAATATTCCTATCAGATGAATGCTGCTAATGAATCTGCTGTGAAGTTGAGCTTGTAGTAAGTCAAGGGTGGTGGAAAAAATGAGCACAACAGAAGGACAGCTTTCAGTTTTACAGTGACACTTTGCCATCTATTAAAAAAGTGGGGCGTAAACTAAGCTGTATACTTTAAAAGAAACATATTGTGAATATGCAGGTGAATTTGGCTTTTACTCAAATACTATTTTGCGGTATGAAAAGGAGGAAATCAAGTGATTCTTTAAAATCAGAGAATTTCCTTAACAGAGATGCCCTCCCTTCCTACCTTTATTTTCAAAGTGACATATTTTCTTTGAGAAATCTGTAGGGTAAGTTCTCACTTATGTGTGAATCTTAACGTGAAATTCTGCACCTGAAAATCATGCATTCAACTTCTTCCAGAAAATAACATAACTTTCTCCATGTTTTTATGTTAAATAAAGTACTACTATTTTTGCTGTCCTAAGAAAACAGAAATTTGGGCTTTAGGGGTTTATGACCAAAAGGAGAATATGAAAACACAGCCACTTTGCCTAGTTCACAGTAGACAGCTTTCAATAAAAGGGGAAAGAACAGGAGTTTAGCATGTAATTGGAGAGGTGGGAATCTCAGCTGATCAGCCAAGGTTTTCTCATGATTGAAAATATGAATCTTAGGGGTAGAAGGGGGAATGGTTCCTCCTAAGAGCAGGTTTCTTCACCCAAACCTTTCCCAGTGACAGGCTCATTTCTCCGGGATTCAGTCCGTGATTCTCCCACCTGCCCCATCCTGGCAGCGTCCATGTCTTGTCCACAAGGAAGCCAAATTTCAATTTTGTCAGCAGTGCTGATAAGCCCTGACTCAGTATTGTTGGTGCCTGTTGTCTGTGAGAGCGAGGAAATTGCCCAGGTCCTCAGGTCCCCCTTTCATCTCATCTCAAGTGACAAGAGCAGAGGCAGACAGAAGACCTTCTGTGAATGCACAGTATTTGAGTCTTTTTGCAGCCGTGTGTATATATATTTTTAATTGATGCTCTTGGTCTGAGATATTTGGTATACTAAAGGCAAATTTAACATAACTTCAGGCGCTTTTCTGAGATAGTCTGGTTCTTTTCTCCGTATTGAGGTTGTAGCCTGAAAAAAATGAAGTGACTAATGATAATAGCTGCATGTGTTCAAGCAGAATCATTCAGGGACTGAGTGGAGGGGAGATTCTAGAAATTATGTATTAAAACTTTGTTTTTCTAAATAGGGCAAATGTATTTTTCCTGTATATGCTAATGGGCTTTTAAATAATTGTTGTCATGGATCTTAACTTTGCTGGGAGTTATTTTACATTTATTATCCTAGGTTTAATATTACCTCTAGTAGCAAAACCTCTGTTCCAGAAGGAATTGCAGTAAGATGGGCTAACCATTTTGAGTCTGAGATACTGTGTCATCTGATGTCACCTCTCTTGATCTGCTCAGTGTGTAAAAGACAAACTTTGATACTAGTTCCAAAATCTGAATGTAGCTTGAGCTTACAACACCTCCTTGAGCAACATCTTCTACCTAATTAGCACGTTTTCCTTATGTATTAATTACAGACCCATCTGTTTGCAGATGAAAAAGAGTGGCCTCTTCTCCTTTATCTGTCACTTATGGGAGCATGATTCTGTTGCTGTGGAGTTAGTAGGTGTTAACTTAGCAAAGGCCTGTGCGTCTTCAGTGTATTTATGAAGTTAATATTTTACTCCTCCATATTGCTCCCTGTTTCAGAATAAGTATTCACTGCAGTAAATGAGTAATGAGCTAGTGTTGCTTTTGGGGAGGAAACTGAGTCACAGAAGGTATCATGATTTGCTCTTAGTAAAGCTGTTAGCACAGAAAGATATGCAGGCCAAGTACTCTAAATCCTGGTCTTGTGTTTTAGCCATACACTGTATTGCTTCACTGTTTAGAAGATATTGCAGTTAGTAATTTGACAGAAGTAGAATGTAGAAATAAATTGGAAATTACTCAGGGTAAACTATACTAGCACGACATATAGTTTATTTGTTGTGCTGTTATACATGTATCACTGTCAACACATATATTCCAATGATTATATTTCAGTCACTTAATTCTTTTTCTCCGTGGAACAGCAAAAGAAAAACCCCAAAAAACAACACAACAGTTTTGTTGAAATGACATCCATTTGCTTAATCAACATTAAGAAGCACAATCCATTTGCATATTGCTATAGGAAATACGAGTGGCTTTGCTCTCTGCAGACATAAATCCACGTCCCTCTTAAGAAATCATCTGTAATGCTGCTAAGCTTTCAGTAAGGATCTGTACTAATAAGGGTTTAGATGTAGTTGGAGACTTAGCGTTTCGTGCATAGCAGCGTCCAGCCTGCATCCAGGTACTCATAAGTATCTCTAGTTATTCACAAAGTGTTTGGTTTAGTTTTGTAGGTGGATAAAGTAAAGATAATCAAGGTGTCTGCCCTTGTATTTATTTAGATGACAGTATTTGCTCGCTGTGGGCAGAACTGAAACTGAGAGAAACAACGTTGTAAGTAATTCCTGGCCAAAAAGAATCTATGATCTCTCAGAATTGGTAATTATCAGCAGTACTAACATGGGTCCTTCTGTGGGTAGAAGCACCTTCACTAAGAGTCTTTTTTCCTCCCTCTCTTTCTAGATGCAGCAATTGTTTCATGAAAATTATGAACACAACCGGAAGGGTTACATTCAAGATCTTCACAACAGCAAAATTCATACGGCCATAACACTTCATCCAAATAAAAGACCAGCCTACCAATACAGACTGCACAATTACATATTGAGCCGCAAAATTTCAGAGCTGCGCTATCGGACCATCCAGCTCCACAGGGAAAGTGCCCTGATGAGCAAGCTCAGTAACAATGAAATCAGTAAGGAAGACCAGCAACTGGGAGCGATGCCATCTTTCAATCGTTTCCAGCCACGCAAAAGGGCTGAAGTCATTGAATGGGAGTTTCTAACGGGAAAACTTCTCTACTCGATGGTGGAGAACCAGCCACCCCGGCAGAGCCTGAGCAGCGTCCTGCGGGCCGCGCTGGATGACACAGTAATGCAAGTCATGGAAATGATAAACGAGAACTCTAAATCTAGAGGAAGGCTCATTGATTTCAAGGAAATACAGTACGGTTACCGCAGGGTGGACCCTATGCACGGAGTGGAGTACATCCTGGATTTACTGCTTTTGTACAAGAGGCACAAAGGAAGAAAAGTTACGGTTCCAGTCAGACGTCACGCTTACCTTCAGCAGTTGTTCAGCAAACCTTTCTTCAGAGAAGCGGAGGAGCTTGATGTAAGAAGCCTCGTGGAGGATACTAACACGGACACTCAATCTTTCTCTTTTCTTTCAAATTCTTTAAAGATTTTTTCATCATTCCAAGGCACCAAAGACATTGCAGGACACAGTGACAAGAAAATACATATTCTTGTCCCTCTGATAGGACGATACGATATTTTCTCAAGATTTATGGATAACTTTGAGAAGACTTGCCTGATTCCTAGGCAGAATGTGAAGCTGGCAGTAATTCTCTTCAGTTCGGAGTCTAGCCAAGATTCCAGCAAACACATAGAGCTGATGAAAGAATATAGCAACAAGTATCCCAAGGCAGATATGACCCTGATTCCTATGGCAGGAGAATTTTCTAGAGGTTTAGGTCTTGAAATGGCCTCATCTCAGTTTGACAATGACACTTTGCTGCTGTTCTGTGACGTTGATCTGATATTCACACCAGACTTTCTCCAGCGATGTAGAGATAACACTATTCAGGGAGAACAGGTTTACTACCCCATCATCTTTAGCCAATATGATCCAAAAGTAGTATATGGAGGCAACCCTCCAGCTGACAGTAGTTTTGTTTTCACAAAAAGGACTGGATTTTGGAGAGAGTATGGATTTGGAATTACTTGTATTTACAAAAGTGATCTGTTGACTGCTGGTGGATTTGATACCTCAATTCAAGGCTGGGGACTTGAGGACGTAGACCTCTTTACGAAAGTGATAACGTCTGGTTTGAAGGCTTTTAGAAGTCAAGAAGTAGGAGTTGTACATATTTTTCATCCAGTTCAGTGTGACCCCAATTTAGATCCAAAACAATATAAAATGTGCTTAGGGTCCAAAGCAAGTACATTTGCCTCTACCATGCAGCTCGCTGAACTTTGGCTAGAGAAGCATTTGGGTGTCAGGTACAATCGAACTCTCTCCTGACATCCCAGCCCATTTTGCCTTTGTAGGGGAGTTTACCTCATTATTATTATTACTATTTTATTTTGCTGTCATATTTTTAAACTCCCTCCTCAGTGTCTTCCAAAGACTGTTGACCTCAAACAGGATGAGTCTGCTGTTCACTGATATTTCTTATTCCTACTGAACTGGTTAGGTGACATCTTTCATGTTTCTTTTATTTGAAATTCAGTTAAGTCGTGGCAGTCGTGATCCCATGGAGCACATCCCTCATGAGAGACTGCATTGGAAGAATATTCTCTTGGGGCTGTAGGATGCAATATCATCTTTGTTGTGTTTCTCAGACTTGATGCGATACAAATATTTACTGGTGAAGGTACCACAAAAGTGCTTTATGCTTCCTCTGCGGAAGGAACTCTGTAACATAAACTTGAGTTTTATAATTTATATGAGGACTTAAATATATAAACACTACTTTTCTTCATCTTTAGAATTTTTAAAGTAAATGAATAACTATGATTGTACCTTTATTTTTTAAGAAAAAGAAAAACTGAGGAGTCACTTGCAAATGCAACTGGTACTGGCTACCAAGGTCCTTAAATGTCTTATTATAATAACAAGCTCCTTATTGTTGTTCACTCTAAGTGTGAATGAACTTTTTTTTCACAAGCAACAGGATTTAATCAAAAACTCTAGTTCACAAAGCTTCTAAAGTGAACATATGTCCTTCATTTGCTGGCAAGAAGAAACTATGACATAACATGGTTATTTATAACAAAGTGCAGGCATACAGTATTCTTTTTTTCAGACACTTAGTATAAGTTGCTCTTTCTCTTTTTAGAATGAGTCTAATATATAGTTTTCTTTTACATTCCTTTCATAATGCTACACTTGATAAAGAGTGTTAAAAGTTAAAGCTGCATCTTTTTTTACGTTGTCCATGATTATTGGTACGCAGAAACTATTTGTTGTTAAAATTTAAAATAACTGTAAAATAATTATTTAAGTTTGAAAATTTACTATTGCTGGTCAAAGTTCCTTGCCATTATATTTATATTAGCGGAGATTGTAGGACTGTGTTAAGATTTATCTCTCTGGACAGCCTGAAGTTGTCATGTTATGGGTTTATGGAGTAAAGTATTTAAAATGATACCAACATAAGAAATAATATCATTTTTGTATTTTAGAGAGATTTTTATATAGAGATATATACATATGTATGTGTGAGTGTGTGTATATATACCTATACATACATATATATATATATTCATATATATATATATATATATATATATAAAATCATTTCAAAAGATGTTCCTCTTTTCAGTTCAGGTGGAGTTTTCTTACAATCGTTTTTGCCACACGCTTGGAACATTTCATGTTATACTGTGGCGAGAGCTCCAAGGCATCCAAGAAACCATCAGAATTCAGCCAAACTTAAACTGATGTAGTGGGTACATCTAAGACCTTCAGTACCTTTGATTTCAAACTATATTTCAAATTGAGCTGGGCAAATAAATTAAGCAGTTTCGGAATTTAAGTTTCAGTATGCCTAAATACAGTTTGTGGCTGTGACTGGCTCCTTTTGTGTTTACTTTCCAAGAACAACCAAGTGAGTGGCCTTCACTGACACACGTATTTTTGTGAAGGTACCTTGATGCATTTCCTAAGGCACCATGAGGATGCATAGGTCAGTTAAGATCGCTTATCTGTGGCTCTCAGTTTTGGATTTAGCATGCTAGGAAAAAACCATCACTGAAACAGGGAGCAGGTAAGCTCAGAGTTAAAGTGCTGGCCATAGCTGCTTTGTGGTGCCTCTTGTGTCCTGGCACACTGTAATTGCACGGAGATGGAGGCATGACGATTTAAACACCCCTCATAAGTAGCACATGCTTATATTGCTGAGAGCAGTCATGTGCAGAGATTAATATGGGCAGCAGGCACGAGCTGAGGCAGATGATCTCATTAAAAGGTCATAATATCTTGTGGCACTGGTGGCTCTTCTGACACCTCTGGTGTGCTTCAAAAAAGGCTATTCCCATTGCCTTGGAGAAGGGGGTAGTTGTGGTAGAGGAGGATGGATAATGGGCCTAACAGGCATAGTTAATGGCTATCTGCCCTCCTCTGTTATTTTCCTGGGGGCTCTTGCCTTCCTAGCCCAGGACTGTTAACTCACATGTTTGGGGAAAGTAAAATGCGGTATTACGTATGAAAGGATTCTTGGAAACCTCTCTTTAAATTTGCATGAGTATTTCTGCCAGAAAAGCTCATGCTTTGTTCAGTGCTGGAGCCAAGAACAAGGAACATATGATTTATCTGATCAATCTCAACTAACTGAGGCAACTCAGATAGCAAATACCAGAAACTGAATGGCCACTGACAAGTGTGTGTGATGATTCCATAAACATGAATAAAAATAATGATTTACAAACATATTTAAGGAAGTCATTGTCTGCTTGGATATATTCCAGTGCTAATTTCACTGACTTCACTTAATGGACAGAAAGTATTTGTTCAGCTCAAATTAAAATAGTAGAATAGAAGAAATGAGACCAGTCGTTCAGCGGGGATGAAGCTGTATACAGAGGGCTTGCAGGATCAGGTCCTAAGTGATATAAACAAAATGCTAGTATTTACCATTGCAAATATTTATTTAGTGTCTGACTGATTCATTTGTTTATATGATGAATTACTTTGTTAAAAGCCTGATTATAAGTGTTCATTATAAAATATTGCATTGTCTTTTGAAATAACTGTCCTGAGATAACTTGAGAACTCGTGTTAGTTCATTTAAGGAATAATATGCCTTCTGAGGAGATGATATTAAAAAAAAAGAAGCACAAAAGTGTTAATTTTATGGATGTATAGACTAAGATGGGAATGTCTGTGCTAATCGACTGTTTGCTTTTGTCCGGTCTTAATCATAATCTTGACTGTAAAATGAAATTTCTAGTGTGTATTATATCCCTTTGTATATGCGTAGTTAATGGCTTCACAATACAAGACAATGACTAATTTTTCCAAAACCTAAGCCTGGAAATAGACTCTCCAGTTTGATTGCTGGGAAGTGGGATGTGAACTGCTCGCACTTTGGCTTTTCAGACACTGCCTTTCTTAAAAAAATAAAAAAAAGTCTTTCTCCTATTTTTTCCCCCATTCTGACATGTTTTCCCATTCACTACTTAATTTAATATGGCACTTGTCTCTTCCAGATGAAGGAAAGGCATCAGGTTGGACTTTTCAAGAGTTGCTGAGTAAACGCTGCATTGGAATATTTGTCCTCAGTGTGGGGAAAGGAAAAGTGCCCGGGGGAGGCGAAGGGTTTGTCCCCAGCCACGTCTCGTGGGAGCTTGGGCACGTGGGCAGCCCAAGGCAGGGCAAAGGAAGAGGGTGCTTGCGGAGAGCAGCTGCTTTTGGGAAGCAAAAGGGTAACCAGGGCTTGGGAGGAGAATCTTGAACGGAGGTTTTGCTGGGTTGGGGCGGCAGAGTCTCTCACGCAAATACTCTGTCTCCCTGTCCCGTGGTGGAAATGGGAGTCGTTCCGCATTTATATGCTTATGTTTCCCATTTCCTCCTTAAGGGATGTTGCAGAGGAGAGGAAGGGCAGAAACTGCAGTCCTGGCCCTTGGTCCAGCTAGTGGGGTTAGACCACATCCTTGGAGTCCTACTGCAGCGTGGGAGACCTGGAGAAAAGGGGGCCTAAGGTTATTACCAAAAAGCAGTACAGCGAGAGAAGCGCCTCCTGCACTCACCCAAGACGAGAAGGTTTTGCGAGCCCTTGGACGGGTACATGGTTAAGAGTGCTGCTCGGCTCTTAGACAAATTATAATGATGCTCAAATGGCTCAGAGGCGTGTACTACAGATCCCGAGGAAATGTGAAGACTTCCAAAGAGTTAACAACCACTTACTTTAAATAGAGTAAATAGGTCATTTAAATGTCTTTCCCTTACTTAAAAGACAATTCTAGTGATTAGTTAACACATAGTTTGTCACACAGAGGATTTAACACCTAAGAGCAAGGCTATCTTTAAGATATCATAGCTAAAAAAGCATTTGCAGTCAATGTCTTTTATTTTCCTGTGACTTGAAATCAGTTGAAAGTATTGGGAAAAAACGTGGACTGAGAATTGGTGAGTGGCTGCTTGGAGGAATGCTTTCGGTTTCTGCTCTATTTTTAAAAGAGAATCAGATGAGAGAAAAAAGGCTATAATGGATGCATACAAAAATCAGCCACAATGTTAGGGTAGCAGTGGTGATTATGGTCTTAAATTTTAGTACAAGGACATGTATGGCAAAAATCAAGCTATTTACTGCAGCAGAATGTCACTGGAGGTTTTACGTCCGTAAGTAACATAAAAAGTTAAATCAATCCTTTTTTAATCTGCTCTTTCTTAGAATGATTTTCTTTCTATTCTCTTCTGTCAGCATCTAGTCACTTGATTAATGAGCTGGCTTTTCATGACTCACCTTCTCCTTCCCGTCCCTTTTTCTTTTCTTTGGGTCTTCCCATTTGCAATATATGTTGCTACGGTAGTTGAAAATTTTTGAACCAGTGTAATGGTTTTATGATGTCACTGCCATATAAAACTGTTGAACTTGGGTATTTTGCTGAATGAGTTTCCATTCTTACTTCAAACTGTTTCCATTTGCCTGCCACTGTAATTTAAAAGTATTCTGAATATTATTACTTCATCCCTCCCTCTCGTCTCCTTCACCTTGGAATCTCACCAAGCCAAGGAAATGCAAAGGCTTTCCAATCCTTAAGTCTAGGAAAACAAATAGAACCCAAGATTTTTCTTTACCTCCCCCGCCTTTTTTTTTTCATTAAAATGTCTTATCTACAATTCCAGAAGTGAATTTATTGGTTCTATAAATATTTCAATAAAATAAATAACGGTCATGAGGATGTAAGACAGCGCTTACATGAACTAGAGGATACGAGCTGTACTTCTACATCCTGCCATATTATTTTCTAGATCCCTAATGATTCAGCAATGTTTACTGTTTATAGGAACTTTGTAGATAAATTAAAGCATCCTCGCTGGGTTTGTGTTTGTTTAGCGTTGGTGGAAAGGTTAACCACATAGGTAGAGCTCAAAGGATGTACTATATATACTGTAGCCTGCTGGATTTTGTTTCTCCTGCAGTGCTGGTGGGAAGAAGTTCCCCAGAGGAGGGCCTCTGCTGTGCATAGGAGGCCTGCAGTGGGGTAACGTTCTCCACAAAACAGCCCTGTGGAGCAGCTATTTTAAGTCTATGCGAAGCTATGGGCGTAGCATCCAGGTAGGTACAGCAAGCTACCCCCAGGGTATTGATGGCTACCACCAGTTTCAGAAAAAAAGTGAGGAGTGCAATAATTATCGTGCAATGGCCAACTAGGTTTGGTACGAGCTTACCGACACAGAGCACTTTTTTGTTGCATTCAGTTATAGCATTCTTAACACTGTGAAGCACAAGTCTGAGAGGAAAGTAACAGAAAGTTGGCAGAAAGAAATGGGTCTGGGGAAGGGATTTGTGGAACAGTAATGCTTGCCAAACAGAGTAGAGAGAAGTAATTTCTTGTATGCAAGTATGCCTTTGTGGATTTGACTAGTATTTTTAAGTTTAGGGCACCTATTTGCAGTTACTTGATGAGTGTGTGGAGTTATTCAGTATTTATGTGGGTCTTTGGCTGGTCAAGTGCCTCAGCACTTGGCAATTTTACATACTTGACTTAGAAAACTAAGTTATTGCATGACTCTGAATGTGTTCTCGGTAGCTTAGGAGAGATCTGGAAAAAGTCCATGAGTCCATTAATTTGCAGTAGTTATTTCAGTGCAAATTCTCATTGCAGCGCCCTCCTTTCTCTGCCCCACCAATGTCCAGGACCACCTACTGCTTCCTCATATAGAGCGCATTTTGGCACTAAACACCCCGGGCAAGCTTACTGACTTTCACCCCAGCCTGAGCCTCACCTTTAAAGCTTGTTAGAAGCCTCAGCAGTTGACAGTAAGTGGAGTGAGGTATGGAGAAGGAGCAGTTTGGTAGGGGGAAGTGAGAACAGCAGTATTACAGTAGTCACGAGTAGCTTAAGAGTGGAGAGGACAGTGAATAAAAATGGAAGCCTTGTGCATATAAAGAAAAAGCACTACCCTTCATCAAACGATGAAGGATAAACGTGCAGCTAGAAGTTAGGAGAGAAAACGTAGCCTACAGC